TGCTCCTGGCCAGCCCCATGCGCCCCCCAGGGGAAGAAAGCGGAGGCCGGAGGCGGGAGCGGGAGCGAAGAGTCCGGATCTCTCGACGTCTTCGCGGGCCGTTTCCTCGGCTCTGGCCGCCGCCTGGGGGGGGGGCCTAGGACGGGCTCCAGCCGCGGGAGTGGTTCCCAGTGACCACAACTGGGGCCACCATTGATTCGGCGTCTGCCGGGGGCAAAGCCCGGCGCTAAGCAACCCGGACCGGCGTCCTTCCTTCTCACCTTGGCCGCAGCCCCGCGAGGTGAGTGCTGGCGCCGCCATGGACCGGGGTGGAAACTGAGGCCGGGGGCGAGGCAGCCCGACTGCGGGCGGAGAAGGTTGACCGGCCTCGTGGGCGCTCGCAGGTGTCGGCACGGACGGCTGTGGGAGCCCGGCGCTCCTCGGGGCCAGGGTCACTACCGGTCATCACGTGGGACGGCCGGCGTCCGCGGCTAGAACCGAAACCTCCTCAGCATGGTTTCCTTGGAGGGTGGCAAACTTTTGTTGCAAATAGAACAAGATCCTACCTGTCTAAATAGGTTTTCCTGTTCCGAGCATTTCGTATAAGGGGGGTCATGTACCACGTGGCCCGGGACTGGCCAGCTTAATGGTTTCAGGGCTCACCCAGGTGTGGGCCGTTCATTCCTTTTCATCGCCGACTAATACTCCGTTGTTGGATATACCACATTTTCTTGATCTGTTCATCAGTTGGCATTAGGTTTGTTTCCACTTTTCGGTTATTACGAATAAAGCTGCTATTTGCATGCCCTTACTAATTATTTTTTAAAAAATATATTTTTATGGAGGAAGGGAGAGAGAGGGCGAGAGAGAGAGAAACATCAATGATGACAGGGAATCATGGATCGGCTGCCTCTTGCACGCCCCCTGCTGGGGATCGAGCTCGCCACCCGGGCAGGTGTCCTGATTGGGAATCGAACCCGGGTCCGCCTACCTAGGGCCTCATTAATTTTTATAGCAGCATCTGTGACTTCACTGTGTGACTGTGGTCTAGTGTATTCACCCACGCAACTAGCTGTGGCCATCTAGGTGGTTTTCCGTGTCTTGCGATGACAGTGCTGCAGTGCCTATGTGCATATTACTCTCCCGTTGTTGGAGGTACATCTGCAGGGTGGGCTCTCGGAGTGGGACGGCTGGCATTTGGTTGAAAGACAGCGGCATTTGTCATTTTGTCCGGTTCCCCCTCCAGAGGGCTTGGACCCCGTTGCATTCCCCCCGACAGTGTGAGAAGGAGCCCGCAGCCTCCCCAGCAGAGGGCGCTGCTGTCCTACTTTCACCTCCGCCGGGTGATGGATGAGTGGGGTCCCAGTGCTGTTCAGAGTTTCATTTCTCTAGTCAGTGTGTTTGAACAGATCTTCCTGTGTTTGAGAGAGCCAGCTGCATGTCTTTTTTGGTGCATTGTTTGTATGTGGTTGAACGTGAACTCATTGACCCAGGAGGTCATGGTTGGATTCTGGTCAGGTCAGGGCAGGGCACGTGCCCAGGCTTCGAGCTTGGTGTCCAGTAGGGGGCGTGCAGGAGGCAGCCAGTCAATGATTCTCATCATGGATGTTTCTCTCCTCCCTTCTTCTCTCTGAAATTAATAAAATATATTTTTTAAAAATTGCGGTAAAGTATACTTTACTTGAAATGTGCCATTTTAACTATTTTTTAAGTGCACCGCTCCATGGTATTAAGTACCTCCACGCTGTCGTGCCGCCACCACCACCATCATCTCCTGAGCTTTTTTTATCTTCCCAAACAAAACTCTGTCTCCATTAAACACTGACTCCCCATCCTTCCTTCTCCCAGCCCTTGGCAGCCACCATTCTACTTTCTGTCGCTATGAATTTGCCTACCTCATATAAATGGATTAGTATAGTTTTGTCTTTTTGTGAATGGCTTATGTCACTTAATGCAAGTTTCATCCATGTTGTAGCATGTGTCGGAATATGTTTCCTTTTAAGGCTGAATAGTATTCCATATATATCACATTTTATTTATCCATTCATCTGTCAGTAGACACTTGGTTTGCTTTAACTTTTTGGCTATTGTGAATAATGCTGTGTCTCTAAGTTTTTAAGAGCTCTTCATATATTAGGAATAGCTCTTGGTCCTTGGTATATCTTGCAAATATTCTGCTGATTTATCAGTTGTCTTTTTCTGATTTTTAAAAATATTTAAGAAATTTTCAGTTTTATTGAGATATAATTGACATATAGCACTATGTAAGTTTAAGGCATACAGCATAGTGATTTGACTTATACTACTATATCTATTTATTTTATTTTTTAAAATATATTTTTACTGATTTCAGAGAGGAAGGGAGAGGGAGAGGGAGATAGAAACATCAGGATGAGAGAGAATCATGGTGGGCTGCCTCCTGCAAGTCCCACACTGGGGATCGAGCCTGCAACCTGGGCATGTGCCCTGACCAGGAATCGAATCATGACCTCCTGGTTCATAGGTTGATGCTCAACCACTGAGCCACGTCGGCCAGGGTCAGGCCCCTTGCTGGCTCTCGTCTGCCACCCTGTTCTCCCTGCGTGTGGTCCCTCCCTCGAGGTTAACACAGGTTCCCTCCACTCAACCTTTCAGGATCCCTGTGAATGAGTTGTTCTTCTCCACTCCTAGATGTTGCCTGTTTCTCTTTGCTTCAGTCAACTTTTGGAAAAAAAATTGTTGATAGATCCATTGCCTCTGCTGAGCAGTGAGGCCTGGGGGCAGGAGTTGGTCTCACTTCCTTGTTCTGGCACTTGGCGCCTTGCCTGGCAAGGGCACACGCTCAGGCTGGGGGGCCGAGGGGCTCCCTGTGTGGCAGCACACACAGCCGTTCCCAGGCGGTCGGCCACCAGCCTGAGTGCCCAGAGGCCCGTGGCTGTGGGGGCTGGTTCCCGGGGGGCCCCTGCATTGTGACATTCTAGGCTCTTCATGGGCCCCCTCTGTCCTTTGTCCTCTGTCCAGGAGACTGGTGGCTGGTGTGGCCTCCGCGGGTGATGGGAAGCAGTGCCGGGCGGCAGCTGAAGCTCCGAGCATGGTGAGGACAGTGCTGGCTGTTCTGCTGGAGGGGGGCGTTTTCCCGAGGGGGGTGTTTTCCTGAGGCTGTCCCTGCAGCCTTCCTCCCGCTGCGGTACATTCGAGGTGTGAATCTTGCCCTTCTGTTGAAGCGGCTTGGCTCGCAGGTTGCTAGAAAGGGCGAGTTGACCCATTTTGTTGGGACCTGTTATTCCAGTCCCTGGGTCTCCCTCTGTGTTGGGTCCTTGCTGGGTGTCCCCGGCTGTGTTCCCTTTGCAGTGGACAGTACCCAGGACACGCTCCCTGACAGACTGGTGTGGTCCCCAGCCACGTCCGGCCCTTCTGTTACTGAACTCAAAGGGCTCGCTGCTTGGGGTGCTCTGTTCAAGAGCGAGCAGCCTTGCCCCGCGGTGGTCTGACGGCTGCAGCAAGTACAGGGTACAGGACACGGGGTCCGCATCCAGAGCTCTCCCCAAGGGAGGCGGGGCCACTGCTCTGTGCACTGTTTGCTCAATTAATGACACATTCTTTGCCGTGGGCTGCATGTATGAGTTGAGTTCCTGTCAAGCTTGTTCAGTTTATAGCTGGTCTGCAAAATACTCCGCTGCATTTTAACCTTTAGCAAGAATAGCATTTAGTAAGAACGGCCTAGCGTAGCCCTTGACACTTTTGTCCTAGCCAACGCTTCTTTTTTAAAAATTTATGTTTATTGTTGAAAGTATTACAGACGTCCCTCTAATCTAACACTTTTTTTTTTTAACCAGATGATGGCTTATTCTTTGTTGTCCATATCCTGAGAGCCATAGCTGTCAAGGCAGAGTAGGTTATGGAACAGAGCTGTATGCATTGTGGGTTGTTGAAAAGACAAGTGACATCTCATCTTTCCTTGACCCTCCGTCTCTAGATTCGCATTGCGGCCTTAAACGCCAGCTCCACGGTTGAGGATGACCACGAAGGAAGCTTCAAGAGCCACAAAACGCAGACGAAGGAGGCGCAGGTGTGTAAGGCTCGGCCCTCCCCTGCAGGGGGACCTGGCTCGCACGCTGTGGTGGCCCCCGCTTTACACCGTTCAGATGTGCCCTTCATGGGACTCGAGGGGCCGAGATCCGGGAGGTGGGCGTGTTAGGGTTGCTTTCACGACAGAGGGCACAGCGGGCAGTTAACAGGGCCTCGCCTGCAGCCCCCGTTACATACATGTTGGCATAAAAAAGACAACCTTTGTCCTACGTGAAAACGTCTCCTGTCTTTGTCTGCAGGAAGCAGAGGCTTTTGCCTTGTATCACAAGGCCCTGGATCTGCAAAAACATGACCAGTTTGAGGAGTCCGCCAAGGCCTACCATGAGCTGCTGGAGGCGCGCCTGCTGCGGGAGGTGAGGTGCCAGCCGGCCCGAGCAGGCCCTGGAGCAGGCACCCTGGCTGCCCTCTGCCCTCCCCCTCTTGGCTGGGTGACCTTGGACACATTGTTTCTCCTCCCTGCCCCTCAGCTTCCCTGTAGCGTGTGTGCCTGTTGGGTGGCTGGGAGGGTTGGGTGAGTCCAGTGAGGCACGTGGATGGTGCTTGGTGCAAGGTTCAGAGCCCTGAAATGTCCGCGGTCACTGTTCTTAGTGTTCACAGCCGCTCTGTCGGGGAGGTGGGGGCGAGCAGAAAACAGTGAGTGAGGCTTGATTGTGAGCTTTTCAGTGTTTTTGATGGGACTCTTAAGAGTCAAGGGGTCTTCCTGAAGGTTCCTGGGGGCTTGCCTGTTCTCAACTTGAAGAAGGATGTGAGCACATGGCTGTCCCCAGACAAGGCTGGGGGTGGGCTCGCCCTGGAAACTGCTTGGTGCAGCCAGCGTCTGTGTGAGAAATGTTGTGCTCAAGTGCTGTGCTTAGAGCGATAGGTTTCTAATCTGGTTTCTCAGAAGCCATGTTCTCTGAGTTGTCAGAACTTTTCACGTAAAGCACGTGGACAATCTTGATGCTCTTTGGGCTCATTTCACTTTTGATATTTCAGGCAGGAATGATTGTCCTTACGTTACAGCGCTTCTCGGGACACTGACTTCAGAGTCAAGTAACTTGTCGTGGACCAGTGACAAGTCCCAGAGCCTGGAGCTCAGCCTCCCGACTCCTGTCCCCGTGCTCTTCCTGCTGTGGGACCTGTAGGCCGTGCGGGCGGCTGGCCGCCTGGCACCTCCTGCCTGGGAAACGCGAGGCCCTGCCTGCTGTCCCCGGTGGTCCCCTCACATGCTAGTCCCCCCTCTTCAAACCTGCTCTGGGGGCCCACTGGCTGGCTTACTGATGCCAGAAATGTGTCTGTCCAGACTTGAACCCTCAGGCCTGGCGGCAGCGGTGGGAGACTCCCCTGTGTCTCTTGGTGCCCAGGCTGCCCGCAGACCGCCTCGGGGTCGTCTGGCCTTTCTTCTCTGTGTGTCCAGCGCGAGGAGTCCTCTGAGAACATCCTCTCCAGGGGAGGATGGCCGCGGACTGGCCCAGGGTGTGGCAGAGGCCAGCCGGAAGCCAGGTGTCCTGCGCCTGCCCGCTGGGCTTTAGGGCCTCGTGTCACTGTGTTCCTGTTGGTTTTGTTCCCAGGCAGTCTCCTCTGGTGATGAGAAAGAAGGGTTGAAGCACCCGGGGCTGATGCTGAAATATTCCACGTATAAGAACCTAGCCCAGCTGGCCGCCCAGCGGGAGGACCTGGAGACGGCCATGGAGTTCTACTTGGAGGTGCGGCTTTGGCGGTGCCCGCCTCCCTGGGTGTTTTTGAAAGTTCTTGGTGGAGGGGGTGAGGTTGTGGTCTTATTGGCTGAAAAGAATTTATTTGTTAATCCTCACCTGAAGCTATTTGTCCATTGATTTTCAGAGAGAATGGAAGAGAGGGAAGGAGGGGAGGTTAAAGGGAGGGAGGAAGAGAGAGAGAGAAAGAGAGAGAGAGAGAGAGAGAATATGACAGAGACACATCAATTGGTCCCCTCCTGCACGTGCCACGACCAGGGCTGGGGATGAAGCCCGCAACCATGGTATGTGCCCTTGACTGGGATTGAACCTGGGACCCTTCAGTCTGCAGGCCAACGCTCTATCCACTGAGCCAAACCGGCTAGAGCGCTTATATTTTCTTTTAGTTTTACTTCTTTCACTTTCACTTCTGTCAAATATGTGAGAAATACAGATGTTGAGAGTGACAGAATATATGAGGAGTATGTTCCAGTGTGGCTCAGTGGTTGAGTGTCAACCCATGAACCAAGAGGTCACCAGTTGGATTCCTAGTCAGGGACATGCCCAGGTTACGGGTTGGATCCCTAGTAGGGGCCGTGCAGGAGGTGGTGGATCGATGATGTTCCCATGTCTCTCTCCCTCTCCCTTCCTCTCTCTCTAAAAATCAATAAAAACATATTTTTAAAAAAGAACATGTTCTGAATTCGGTAAATTGGTCCCTGTCGTTTCTATTTGCCATGTTCCTGGGTAGTTTGAGTGGCGAGGCCGGCGCTTGCCCCTCCCGTCACCACAGGCACCGGCTCGATGAGAGAGCTGACGAGAGTGTGCATCCCCTGCTTGTGCCGCCTCCAGGCTGTCATGCTGGACTCCACGGATGTCAACCTCTGGTATAAGATCGGACACGTGGCCCTGAGGCTCATCCGGGTGCCCCTGGCTCGCCATGCTTTTGAAGAGGGGCTGCGGTGCAACCCTGACCATTGGCCCTGCCTGGACAACCTCATCACTGTCCTGTACACCCTCAGTGACTATACGAGTGAGTCGGGCTGTGACACTTTCTCCCAGGCGCTGTGTTTTGGGGACAGCGGAGGGAGGGTGGCTTGGGTGAGAGGAAGCCCAGGTTAACACTGCAGGTCTTTTTGCCTGACTGTCGGG